TAATTTTATTCAAATTTAAATTTGTGATGATGCCAAATCAAATTTCATGTTGGAGTTTAAATAAATAAATATAAATAACAAAACAAAACCTTCCAAGACCATGATGAACTTTGGGCTCTATGCAATTTCCGCGGTCTAAGGCTCAATGATGGAATCGACCATAAAAGGCTCAATGATGGGTAAAAGCCATTCCAACCCATTAAAGGCAAAATCGGAACTTAACCATCATCTCAGTCAATAAACCCGAACTTAAAAAAAGACGCGATCTTCTTCCGAAGTTGTCCACGGCGGAGTGGAGTTTCATGCACTAGGACCAAACGACCGACATTCCGACGACTTTGTCTATGACTTTACCCAATCGATGAAGCTTTTCAAAATCCGGTCGGATGACCCAGAACTGCTCGCTGCGGTGCCCAACCCGCCATTTTCCCACGATCAGCCACTCTGTTCTGAAACCTTTCTGGGTATGCCTCGTCTTTCCCCTTCGTGACATCTGCTCGTACCACCCATAAAAACGGTCTATTGGATAGTTCAAGCCCTATTGCCTCGTCTTGGTCTGGATAAGGTATGACCCCAAGATGTGGATTGCCCATTTTGTTGCTATTAACTCTTTGTTCTAGACTCAGGCTGGATGGTGTTTCTTTTTATAGTTGAATTGTGTGTTCTTTACTCTTTTTGCTGGATTCTCTTACTTTAGATTCTTGAGAAAATGTAGTTCTTGTTTTCTTGTTGATCAACATTGTCTTTGTCCTTTCAGTTTGAATTATCGCAGATGTTTTGAGGCTTACTTCCGTTTGATGGGATTAAAAATGAAATGGTCTTGTTTATCACCGATTTTGGAAGCTGTCAATGTCCTTGGTATTTCTCCAGCTTGTTGGAATTTTTGAACATTGACGTAGCTTCATCACTACTAAAACTTCTTTCTTGAATTTGATGTTCAAGAGCTTAATACGGGGCTGTTTTGTTCCTTTGATCCCATAATTTATTAATCGTACCATTCAAGTTTGCTTCCATGTTGAGTTGCCAACATGTAAAATATGTCTCTCTGTAAAATGTAATTGGAATTTGGAACTAACATATTTTTATAAGGTACTTCCTAATAGGATTAAAATCCGTATATGGTTGAATGATTGTCTGTTTTGTCCATCAAACCCATTTTCCAGAATGCCATCCTTTGATTTATTTGTGCCTAGACTTTAGAGGAATTATTTCCTTTGGCAGAGTTTCATACTCATACATGAGGAAAAAGAAAGAAAACAGGGGAAAGAAAATGATGCAGAAACCAAACTGCAAACAACTTGTCCATGATTTCACCCATTCAATGAAACTCTTGAAATGCTGGTCAGAGAAACCACCTTCTTTAAAGCAGTTTATGGTCTTCTCCTTCAGTTCAAGAGCCCTCGCTTTAAAATTCTCATCACCCAGCAATTTCTCTACTGTGTTCTTAATCTCTACTCCTCTAATAATCCCACTTTCATCTTTCTCAAATTTCAATCCCACCTTCCAAATATCACAAATGTAGCTCTCATTCGGGAATTGATACGCAAAGTAGGGCCAGCACAAGAAAGGGACTCCATTGCTTACGCACTCCATGGTGAAATTCCAGCCAGAGTGGCTCATAAAGCAAGCAATGGAAGGATGACTCAAAACTGCTCGCTGTGGTGCCCAACCATCCTCCCACAATCAGCCACTCTGTTCTAAAATCCATTTCGGTATGAATCGTCTTTCCACTCTGTGATATTTGATCTCACAACCCAAAGAAATGATCTATTGGAGAGTTCAAGATCCAGCGCCAATTCTTGGAATTGGGTACGATTAAGAATCATGAAGCTGCCAAATGCCACATATATGACTGAGTGTGGTGGCTGTTGGTCAGGCCATTTCAAACAGGAACTGTACTCTGGCTAGAAATTAACCTCCAAATTTCCTAGTCTTTCAAGTTCCGAAAATGGGCCTATAGGAAGGGCCTTAGGAACCAAGGCAAATGGTCTTGCCTCCATGTTTTATGTTGAGTTGCAGAGCAGCCACTCAACTTTCTTGATGGCTATGTTGTTCCTCTGCATGAGATCAAATATAATCTTTTAGGTGGTGAAGTCCTCGATGGTCATCCACGCAAAATTGGATGGGTTCATTGCAGGTGAATCCGGAGACAATTGAATCATCTCGTATTTAAGTGGAGTACCTACTGATGAAATTTCATAAGTGACTTGAGAAATATTAGAGAATTATGTGTTTCATTCTTACCATTTTCATCAATAAGTCCATCATCAATCAGCTTGGGGATGTTTAAAATCAAAGCTAGAACCAGGGCTGCTAGAGGCCAGAGGGCAGCTCCCTTTATTCCCAACTCTGCTGCAACTTCTAATACCCATCCCAAGGTCATATCAGCTAGAACACATGTAATCTCATCATCATCTGTTTGATTAATCTTCTCCATTAACTACCTGAGCTCACCAGGCATGAACTTCGAGAATGCTTTAGATGACTTCCCTAGATGATTTCTGTCTTCATCAGCACCCATCCCATCTGGGATTGAAACTAGATGAACTTGCCCTTCTACAGAAGGTTCTTTTCCCAATGCATTCATGATTCGTTCATGGTTAAATTCTGTGTTCACAAATGTGATTTTGATGCCATGTTTGACCAAGATTTGTGAGAGCTCCATGAGAGGAATGACATGGCCTTGTGCTGGATAAGGTACGACCAAAATATGTGGATTGCCCATTCTGTTGATATGAGGCCTGTTTTGCTAGACACAACAAGCTCTTGCTTCATTTTATATTTGATTTTAGTCTCTTTTATGATTCCTTGTTGATTAACTTTGTCTTTGTCTTTTCAGTTTAATTTGTTGCAGCTATTTAATGTATCTGCTTGTACTTGTAATGATTACTTTCGACTTGGTTGGTTAAAAATGAAATGATCTTCTTGTTTGTAATTGCCAAGTTTTGAAGGTATCAATGTCAGTTGTCTAACTTGTTTGGAATTTTTTAGTATAGATATAGACTGGCTTCATCACAGTTGATGTGATATTTTGCATAAGATGAACTTTATGCATGGAAGTAGGTTAGAAAACAAGAAGAAGCAACTAGTGAGTCGAGAAAATATATTACTAAAACAACAGATATAGGTGTTCAAGATGAAACAAATCAACGTAGTTAGCAAAGTTAGGAAAGATGCCACCTTGTGCCTGCAACAGGTATTTACAGTGGATGTGAGATTGCATAAAATGAACTTTTATGCATGGAAGTAGGCTAAAGAACACGGAGAAGCAACTAGTGAGTCAAGAAAATATATTACTAAAACAAGAAGTATAGGTGTTCAAGATGAAACAAATTAACAAGAGTTAAGCTAAGTTAGAAAAGATGCCGCCTTGTGCCTGCAACAGGTATTTACAGTGGCGCTAGAGATCAGATTTAATACTTAGGAGGTTGCGATTTTACATTTTAGCTGCCTCTTATATTATTATCTGGTAAGCACGAACAAAGATGGTTTTGGAACTTGCTGGTCTTTTTATTTAGAAGTTACATCACCTTCAGATTTGAACATGTAAATATTAAGAGAACTTACTTCTGCTTTACCCAATCAACAAAATCCTTGAAGTTTCTGTAAGAGCCACCATCTTCCTTGATGTTAGTTGTGACTGTCTCCTTGATAGTTAAAGCCTGTGCTTTTTAATTATGATTTCCTAACAGTTCATCAATCTTGTTATTAATTTCTACTCGTGTGACAATCCCTCTTTCATCTTTGTTTAACCTTAGTCCAACTTTCCAAATATCAGAAATGTAGCTCTGGTTGAGGAACTGGTCAGCAAAGTAAGGCCAGCACAAGAAAGGGACCTCATTGCTTACACCTTCTATGGTTGAGTTCCAACCACAATGGCTCACAAAACAAGCAACGGAAGGATGAGCTGGTACCTTTTGCTGAGGTGCCCATCCAACCATTTTCCCTCTAGTGGCTACTGTGTCTTGAAATCCTTCTGGGTATGCTTCTTTTCTTCTTTCTCCTAAATCTGGACAAATGACCCACAGGAATGGTCTGTTAGAGAGTTCAAGCGCCAAGGCTAGTTCTTGGAGTTGAGTTGGGTTAAAAAAAGTTATACTGCCAAATGCAACATATATGACTGATTGGGGTTCCTGTTCATCAAGCCATTTCAAACAACTTAAGTTTCTGACCAGAAATTTCCATCGATTTCTCCAAGCCGATTGCTTGCCAGAAGTGGGCCTATTGGTCGGATCTTAGGAGCATTACTAAGTGCTGCAGGCTCCAGATCATATGTTGAGTTGCAAAGCAGCGAATCTGTCAATTTCAAAGATTCATTGTTTCGCACCATGAGTTCAAAAATATTTTTCTGTGCATTGATGTTTCCAAGGCAAGCCCACACAAAGTTTTCTGTGTTCATTGCAGGCATGCCTTGTGACAACGTAACCATCTGTCCTTTCGTTGGGGTTCCTGCAATGCAAAGAAGATCTCAACTGGTAAGTAAGCTAGACCCATCTAGCATTTGACACTATTTCCTTCTACTTCTGATTAGGATTTTATGCTAGGAAAAGAGTTGGTTTGATATTTAAATCTAAATTATTATGAAGATGAACTTTGCTTTGTTACTGATTTTATGTCATTTGAGCATAGAAACCACTAGCAGATTACATTTTTGAGTTAATATCTTAAGCATCTAACTTTTGCCATGATTTATATGCATGTAGATAGTTCAGTTGGTATATCTCCTGTTGTCACTATGTACAGTGACAAATTCTCCATTATCATCATCATGTTTGTGTTGAATCAGTTCAATGTTTCTTTATCTTCTAAGTTAGAAAGAAAATTATGTTATTTTCTCTAGAATTTTGACTCCTACTGCGATTGCAAACATTATGTCTTGGATCTAGCGTTTACCATGATTTATGTATTGTTAAGGCAATTCATTTGAAAAACTACTCGTGAAAAATATTGTCAATTGCAAATCAAGGTCGAGCCTAGGCATAAATTGCCAGTCTCCGAGGTCCATAAATTGGGCCTTTATCAACTAGTGGAAACCCCACCAAGTTTAGATTTTTTGTCCAAGCCCAAATTCAGATTAGATCACCTCTAATAGGCCCAAAACCCAAATACTTTATTTTCACGTTTCCTCTACTTTTCTTTCCAAAAACTGCTTGTCAACTAGTGTCTTCTTCCTCAACTGTTCTCTTCCCCAATCCCCCATTGGTTGGCTGGAACTTTCGCCTTATACTTGAGCAATAAAGGTTAAGCAATTGGCTATGTTCAACACTAAACTTATTCAACAAGGGTTTTTGTGAAATTGATGTGCAATTGTTGTGCAATTCTCTTGATCTACATTTGAAATGATTTGGGTTGAAACCCACTACTAATCTAACAATTCTTTACATTAAGGTTCATGAACTCTTAAAAGTTGAAGCTCAAGTTTTGGGATTTGAGACATTACAATTTCTTTTATTTAAACACTTGATGTCCTCGTTAACCCATTCACAACCAAAACAAAGCTCATTACCCCACAAGCATAAGATCCATTTGAAGTTATGTGTAGTCCAAACTATCCCAACAATAATGATTAATATGGGTCTACACCTATAAGAAGAAACCTCTTTGATACTAATTAAAACAACATAAATAAAAGTCTGTCACTAACTTAACAACTCTTCAAGTTAAGATTCACAAACTTTCAAAAACTTAAGCTAAAGTTGCAAGATTTGGTATATTACAACACTTCTTAATGGAAATAACAAACTAAGTATCATTATTATTTGGTTCAGCAACAATAGCTTTTCTTACACCTTCATGCACTAATCAATGTCACCTTTAGCCACCATGAGATTAGCATTGAAGGTGAAGCAAACGATTGAAAAACTACGTGAAAAATAAAGAGGCAAACAAAAAATCTCAAAAAGAATACAATTGATCCATAAGGTTTGTAAGGAACAAAAAATGAAGAGTTTCAAATAATGAACTAATTTAGGTAGCCGCTCCCTGCTTCGATGGATAAAAGAAACAAAATTGCGAAAGTTAGTTGTGAGGCTTAGCTAACAGTTTCCAAACAGTTTATTGCATCACTATTTTTTGAACATATGGCTATGGTAGAGCTAATGGGATTCCAATTTTGTTTATAATTCTTAATCTTTTATTTTATTAAAAAAGAAATTTATTATAAAAAAAAACTTATGAAAGCAAGGGAATGAACATTCCAAAATAAAAATTGCCTCCGTAATAAAATAAAGGGAGGTGATTCATACACCGACCGGTGTTACACCCCCTTTTAAAATATATATTTTTTGTCTACTTAAGAATAAGTGTCGAATAATTTATCCTTGTTCTTATTGTCAACCATACTCTATGTCTGATTCCAAACACACAATAACTCAATCCCTTCTTCCTTCTTCGATTCTTCATTGTTTCCATGTATTCTCCAGTACCGGCACCGGTAGCAACACCATCACCACTGTTGGCCACTACTTTTCCTCGCTTCTTCCTCCTTTCTTTTTCTTGCTCCCTTCTTCCTTTCTTTCTCTTCCTCCCTTCTTCCTTTCTTTCTCTTCCTCCATTCTCATTGTCCTCGTTCTTTCTCTTCCCACCACTCCATCTATTCCCCTTGCTTCCCCACAGCAAAGAATCTAGAAAATTTGGGTACTCATCACCCACTAGTAACCATCAATTTCATCCCATTTGGATCTAGCTTCTTTTTTTTTTCTTTTTTATCAGATTTGAAAATTTTCGTCCTTTTCTTTTCTTTTTTTTTTTTTTTTTTTTTTTTTTTTTGCTTTAGCCAGCACCTAGATCTAAACTCTTGGATCCCAAAAACACCAAACTACATAATCCCTCTCCCTCCCACAAAAACCCCTTTGTTTTCCCATCACTGCAGCCTCCTTCTGCTGAAGCAATACCGAAAGTAGCACCACCATTTCAATTTCTTCCACCACAAAGATCCACATTGCTAAAATGTTGAGATAAAGGGATTTGAGATTTACTAACCCATAGAGATGAAGGATTTATTATGTAATTGAAAAGAGGAAAAGTAGTCTTGAATTTTATGGGTTTCAAATGATTTTTTTTTTTTCATCTTTCTACATGTACTTGCAATATTTTTCTAAATGCTTGGTTGAATTCCTCTCGTATTCTGCAGATTGGCAAAATCAAGCTAGATCTCCAACTAAGATTTGAAAAAAAAAAAAAATCATGGATTTTTCTCATTTTTGCTCTTGTGTTGGAGATGAGATAGATCTGGGAAAGAGAATGGATTTTTGACTATTTGTTAACTTTAATCTCTTAATTTTAAATTTAATAAAAAGAAAATTAGAGAAGATAAACAGTATATCTCCATTAACTACCCTAGCATAACAGGAGGAATGGCAAAGATGACGAGTCTCAGAAGATGACTAGCAAAAGAAGTAGAGCAAGCATGAGAAAGAAGACAAGGACATTTACTACATTTGAGAAAACATGTTTTCAACTATTCAGAATAAGTTAGGATAAGTATATACTTAAAAAAAACATTATTTTTTCCATTTGAACCACTTGCGTGACGAGCGGGTGTTGATTCATGCATAAATCATTTCCCTAAAATAAAATAAAAACATTTCTGCTAACATATGGTTGAAACACTACAAGTCATCTAAAAGTTTTTGCGAAAAATGGAATATCCGAACTTTTTTTTGGCCCAAACTATCCGAACTCAACCTTATTAGCACAAGGCAAAGAATGGGCTACTGGGGTTCGAGCAGTAAAATGGGCTACAAGGTCATACAAAATATAGGCCCCATTGGTCATATAAGCGGTGCCTGAAGCTTGTATTGGGCTTGTTCTCTTTACATCCTTTGGGTATTGATATAAAGACATATTTTTTCATAATTTTTTTTATATAAAATTTATATATTATTAAATAAATAGATACATTTAATATTATATATCTTAAATAAATAAAAAAAATTAATTATTTAAATAATATAGAAAGTTGTATCAAAAGATAAAATAAAAAAAATTGTCCCTAAATTATTTTTCCTTCATATATTAACAGCTGTACAACAATTTTGACAGCTAGAATATTCCCGGCCGGTTTCTTTCTTCTTTGGGAATGCATTGCCGTCGTTTCTAATTGCAAAGCAAGAAAACGACCAAGAGAATGTTGTTAGGAATTCCACAGTGAGAAACAGTATTTGCGATGGGGTAAGCTGTATGTGAATTACGCAAAAATTATAACAATCAAGCACAGTAAAAAAAAAAAAAAAAAAGAAACTTGTCATCTGTAGAAGAGATATACCAATTCTTTAAAAGTACTATCAAGTCATAACCAACTAAAATAATCAAAAGATAACATTACACCAAACTTTGGGGTTTTGTTGTTCACCCCAAACTTTGAGGGGAGATTGATTGGATTGCATTGCATTTGGTACTGGGCCTAAGCTTACAAACCCATGTGGAGATGATGCTGGAATTACTTGGGATTTAATTCTTTTCGCTTTTCTAAATTTTACTTGGAGACTATACTATATACGTGAGGGTAATTGGGTGACCCCCACCAAAGTGTGTCAGCAGAGATTGCTTGTCCCCTATCTTTGATTGTGGACCAACCCCACAAATCATAATGGTTTTATTTATTATTTATTGTGTAGGAAATTGACTAATTATATTTATTCTGCTTTCATTCGGAAGGGAAGCTTTGTTGTTGGCTCTCCTGTGTCTCTCACATCACTTTCCCAATCATGAATGAATCTAGCTTCTGATACTGACAGGGTGGACATCAGTTTGTTTATTAAAGAGTATCAGATATTTCTGATGTGTCACTGCTGCTGTCAGACAATTACTACTTTCTAAAAAGACAAAAGTCAAGTTACTACTACGACTTGGAATTAGTAGGATCCTCTTCCTTCCAATCCTGAAACAAAGAAAGATTACATGCTTTTGTGTCATAAAAAGTGCAACCTTGTCTTTTATTACTCCACTGATTCTGTGGGGGACACAGAATCAATGTCTGAAAGACTGAAACCTCTGTACTTTTCTAATAAAACAAAATTTGTAGTACTACTACCACAAAAACTTTGTCATAATCATCAAGTGGAAGCTTCTGCTCCCTTTTCACGTGGGTCTTTTGCTGCCCCCAACTCAAGAACACACAGGCACACGTGATGTGTGACTAGAAAAAGGTTGTGCACATCTTTAATGAAATGCAGAGTCGGGGGCATTTTCTTTAACTTCAACAAGACAATTAGAGAGAGCTCCTGAGAGATTAAAATATATTCTAAACATGTTTGCTGAATAAATGCTGATGTTAGCAATGGAATAGACCTAAAAATGGAAAGTGAAAAAGGAAGATGGTAAGGGAGAAAAGACAGGAAGCCACGGAACAGAATAATATTATTGTAGGCAAGCTAAATTCCACTAATTATGTAGTTAAACAATTCATTCTAAATGATCCTCTTCCTTTTTCTTTTTCTTTTTCTTTTTTTTTTTTTGGGGGGGGGGGGGGGAAAGATGCTTCAGATACCTTATTCCTCCTTGGAATTTCATCAAAATATACAATAAACAATATTTACTTTATCAAAAATGACAACACAAGGGCCTCTCAAGTCAAATCAATTGAGTGCCTCGGTTACAAAGGTTGACTTGTCCAGCATTCCATCATGCATTTCTTCTTTGCCAGTGAAAGGTTAGTGGAGATGGACCATTGTGATGCATTGATATGGCATGCAGAGCATAGTTCAAAAAGGATCAAATTTCAGAGAGGATCAATAACTTAATGATCATAGTGAAAGACACTGTACCCCCTCAGGTAGATTTTTGGGCAATGGAAGTGCCATCACATATCGCTGCAGAAATGGTTTTGGTGCCCCGGTAGATGATGCAGCTCCAGAGTTATCCGCTTGTCCCCGGATATGAAATTTAGCAAAACGATTGATGACTGCAAACCGTTCCATCTCCTGGCATTCCACTCTGATGTCTATAACAGACGCTGCCTTGTCCATTCTGCAACATCAAAGACAATATACATCAATGAACAACTGTGTCCAAACATTGTGCAACTAGGCATCAAATATGAGAAGAGTGGTCTTTTTTATTTTTCAGGGGACATATGAAGAAGATATGCTGCAGATACCATTGTATAACAAATATGGCAAATAACGGCAGTGAACTAAGCAAAAGAAACAACATAATGAGACCTAAATAAAGCTCATACACTTTACCCTAATATTCTTCACATAATAAGGGTTTCCCTATTTACATGATATCATGACTGAATTTATAGTGACAAACGATACAAGATGCAACAAAAATAAAATTATGGAAACATAGTTCAGAAATGCATTTTTTATCTTTAAGTAACTTCAGAGTTATGATCTCATCATCGACAGAAAAGGCATGGCTACCAGATATTAACATTCATGAATGAAAGAGCTAGTTTTACACCTTTGAAAGTCATTTTCCAGTTTCTTTGCTTTACTAATAAACTCGTCCATGACTTGTGAATACTTCTGATCACTTGCTTTTTCATTACTCCTAAACTTCTCTTTCTCAAAGGTCCTGAACAAATGAAACAAGCAAATTAAATTTGCAGAGGATCAAAAAGTTGCACGCATACCCCATCTTATTTGTTACTAATAAATTCACAACTCCCAAAAGCACGAGACTCACATGTTACTGTTTCTGTTTTCCGAAGGCAGCTGCAAATCCTTTCCTACACCACAGGAGAGGCTACATGCATCACCTAGGGCTATCCTAGATGCAACATAAGAGACACTATCATAGTGTGAGGTAGCATCTGCTGAGAGAATGGACAATGGTGCAGCGTGAAATAATAGCTGCATAAGCTGTGTGGTCAAGATAAGCCTCCTCTTTGATCGAAACATTGGTTGTATATCTTCAAGCATTTCAACATCATCTTCCACCTGCTATCAGTAATGCAAAAATGAGTATCATTTTTAATCTCAACATGCAGGATTTATTGTTGAGTATGAAAAAATTTCATGATATCAAACTAGATTACTAGAGGCACACCTTCTCATACAATCGATTTGCAGCCACTGCCCACTCTTGTTCTGATATCCTGTAGAAAGGAAAAGTAATCTAAATTAAAAGAGTGAACTAATAATAAAGAGAAATCAATTCAATCTGTAACCAAAATAACAAAACAATAAAGGAAAAGGAGGTTGAAAGCTTTCTACTCTCTGCAACTGGTTTGAAAAGGTAAACATAATCTAAATTTGTTGGGCTTCCATCACAAAGTGGGAGGAGGCTTATATTTAAATTAAACAAGGTAAACAAGTAGAAATAATTCAATGAATACCTGATAGAAAAATATGATAGAAAATACCTGATATGTGGATGCATCTGGGAACCTTCTGTCACTTCTTTGTGCCATGGAAGAGGCTTAGACATTAATGCTTTGCGCTTCTTTGGTCTTGCAATACCAATACTTTGATTGCTCATGTCTGAAGGCAACGCATAAGATGCTGAAAGGTGTTCACTTGGCACCAATGCAGCAGCTGTGCTTGGCCTAGCATTAGCAACTTGACTAGGATCAACAGCATCTACCTGTTGGAGAGAAGCATGGGCATGCAAATTTTGAGAAGGCTTGCCAAGAGATAATTGTCCAACAGTAGGTTTTGCAATCCTGTTATCAGACATAGAACGCATCTGCCCATTTCTGAAAGTCCCATACTGCTTAAACCAGGAGGAGGCCATTTGCAAGTTAACTTGGCCATGATTTGTATGAGCAGTCGTGAAATTATTAACACTAGATTGACCCTGAGAAAAATTTTGACCAAATCCAAACATCTCATGGGGAGTTAAATTATGGACAGCAGGGTGTGACAAAGCTTTTGCACTTGGGTCTTCCCTTCCTCCTGAGAAGAAGCTTAGCAAATTGGCATCCCCACCTGATGAACTTGTTTGATTGTCCATAGGGTTCATCAACCTTGAATCATGTTCATACAATTGCCTGCTCACTACAGAAGTAAACTGCTGAGCATTGTTAGTACCCTTAGCTGGATCAGCCTCTACATTATTCATTCCTTGCACTTGGTGCAACAAGGAATAATTTTGCTCGACATTACTAGTTTGTTTCAAAGAATGACCAGGAGGTGCAAAATCTCTCTCTGATATGGAAGAGACTTGGTTATCACCATGCCTCATCCCATCAAGGCCCTCCTGAATAGAATGAGACACAGATGAGACAGACGGTAAAGCATTTGCATCTAAGCTTTGCTGTTGGAAAATTTCTTTGCCTAGAGAAAAACCAGCTTGCTCAGAAGAATTCACTATCTCAGATGATGTTTGCTGCAAGGACCTCTCTTTTACTGCCTGCATTTCCCCATAACCACCTGCAACAAGGTTAATGTCACTATCTGATGGACTCATGGAAGAAGGAAAGTTGGATGGAACCTTGATAGGTTCTAAACCAGGAAGATGCTGCAGACTTTGTAAATTTGCCCACATATTTTGCATTGCTGAAAACTCACCCTGTCGTGACATGGTTGACAAAAGAGAAGGCTGAGTTACTGACACGGCCTCCAACACTGGAAACTGTTGACCAAAAGGATTGGCTGAGGTCTGTGGAGAGCTATCTTGAAAGGGGGCAAGGTTAAAAGGTGGACGTCTCCTAGAAGTACTTGACAGTGTTGCCTGAGAAGGTTGAGATGCTATGGGTGAACTGGGCACCTCTGGCATTTGAGAACGATTCCTTAAATGTGGAAGACTGGATTCAAGTGCTGCAACAGAGCTTCCCTGCATGTTCAAATATGAGAAGATACCTGTCAGAATACTTGATTTACAATCCAAATGCCCTCTTTGAGAAGGCACAGATTGAATGGAATATTGGAGAGCTACCCATGTCTGATGTTTCTCTTGTAACTCAGAATTGACTTGTCCAGAATTTAGATAACCAATGGTCTGTGGTGAACCCTGAGAAGAGAGGAAAACACTTGAATTGGGCGCACGCTGAGATGGAGGAGCCAATCTTAAGCCAAAACCTTGGGAAGCAAAAGACTGGTTGTATAGTTGCCCAACTGATGTATGAGTTTCTGCCTCAGGAGCGTTGGACAGTGAATTAGAGTCTGCCAAGCCAGCATGAACTGCAGTGCCACCCTCCCTCAAACGGTCAACCTTTTGAAGCAACTCATGCATGTGTTGACTGCAAAAGGTTCAGTGAATCATATTGACTATTGAAGAATATGTCACCTAGGAACTAATACCAAGTACCATTTGCTGTTGACTTATACGAACACAATCAGTAGGAAGAATAGTTGTACAGTTTAAAAGGAAGTAGTGAACTATGGTTTAGAAATGAACGAATAGATTAGATGCAGATAACAAGAATAAGGCCTAAGCTTCCAGTTTATTATGCAGGTAAAAACCTTGTCTGAGAAGCAACATTTGAGCCATCAGCACCAACTGATTTAATATCACCTCTAGAATTTAACTCCTCCACAGGAATGCGCCCCTGTAAAAGATCTCAGAATTAAGGATTCTTGTTAACCTGCTATCGACAAATATCCTATAAAAAATATAAAGAACTTCAATTTAACTGCTTGGCGGAAGACACAGTAGAAAAAACACTATTTACCTCACTAAAGTTCAAAGTAGAAGAAGCATCACCAAAAAACTTCACCTGCCCAGAATTTACTTGATCACGAATGTGCAATCCATTGGAGTCATAGTCTTCACCAGGGGTCTCTCTTTGGTAGCTTCTCTCAGACATATTATTACCAGAGGCTTGTTGACTGCTTGATTGGCTATTATTTATCTGTTGGCCAAAATCATCGTGAGAAGTGGTCCTCTGCTGATTGGCATCACTGTCTGGATGATCATATGTTTGACCTGGCCATGCATTATTTATATGCATGCTTGATTGTATCTGTTGACTTCCTTCAATGTATTGCTTCTGCTGAGAGCCACAATCTACCCACTTGGAAGTGACTTTGGTAGTCTTCTGTTCAAACAATCCCTCCTGGCAGGGATTATCCCTCTGTTCAGTTGAAAATTGGTTACTTGGCTGCTGAAAACCAGGGAAGCTCGAGCTTATGCCAGAATCATTAAAAACAGGCATAGGTTTTGAACTAAAGGTTGAGGCACCCTGCAAGTTGTTATCAACCCAGCCTGTTTGCTGCTTCTCACTATCAATAAAGTTTGAAAGCTGATTATCATTTGACTGTTCTGTATTCTGAAATGTCAAGGCACGCCACTCGTCCTGCAGAGCAGTATCACTGCTAGAAGCCTCTGCCACAGCAGACTGCATAAGAGCACTCCAGCTCCCACTCTGTATAGATGGAAATGCATTTGAAAAATCAGGGTTGTCCAATGCATTGCTGAAATTTCCAGCCTCAGGGCGCCTGCCAAAAGAAGAATCCCAAAAGTTGTCATCCATGTTGTATAAGATCTTCTCTTCAATTGGGTCAAGAGGGACCAAACTCTGAGGAGCAACTTGTGTAGTTTTCTGCTGCATTACTGGCCAACCAGCTTGCTCTTGCCTCCCACTGAAGTCCTTAGCAGCTGCATTCATTTGAGGAGCATTGCCCATCTGGAAGTTTCCTGATATAGTTCCATTATTGAAACCTTGAATGGAAGCTTCTCCAAATATATCTTTCCCATGAAAACCCTGGTTCGACATGATTGCACCTTGTTGCATGCAGAGCTGATCTGGAGGGACAGCATACTGATCTTTCAGAAAAGCTTCTGATGACTGCATCGTAGGCTTTTGAGTTTGACCACCAGCCTTGGTGAGCAAATTCACATTGTCATTAGACATCCCTTGGAGGTAGGAATATTGACTCATGTTACCTCTTGCATTAGCAACAGGAGTACCATATAAAGATGCATCAGGCTGCTGAGGAGTCAGACCCACTGGACGGAGAGCCTGGGCTTGCTCTTGTGAGAAGACAACTCTCTTAGATACTCCTGGCGCAGTAGGAGATGCACCTCGCTGGACCAAGTTCATAAACATTTGTGGAGCATCATGAACTGGTGATCCATTAATGAGAGGAGACATCTGGCTCCCAGCAGGCTGTCTAGCGATGGCAGAGAACTGGTTTAATGTATTCTGCTGCCTCACATCACCTAACTGTTGAAGTTGCTGATGTCTTTGAAGATCCTGCAGTTGCTTCAACATAATTTGCTGCTGCAACAACTGCATGTCATTATACCCAGACTGCTGCATGGGGAAAGGCTGTAAAATACCTGCTTGTTGCCCGCTAAAAAGTTGTTCTTGCCCTTTAAGAAAGTTGAAATCTGTAGAAGCTTCAGTAATTTCTGACCTTTCTGAATTTGCTGTCAGGGTGGGACTGTCACAAGATTCATTCTCTTGATGTGATTTAAGGATAGAAAAACCTCTGGAAGTTAAATTATGCTGATCATAACTGGCATTTTCACCATAAATCCCCGGTTGATTCTGCTGCGTCCCAAAACTCTGGCATCCAAGTGAGAAGCCATTTGTTATTAGATGTTGCTTTCTGTAAGGAACTCTGGAATACTCAGGAATAGGTGTCAACTGCTTGGGGTTTTCATTGAGTGGTATGATCAAGGACTCACCACCAATCCCTCTTGGAGAATCTGTGAAAATCAAACAAATTTATAGGTCATTTGAATAGATGAGTTGGGTCATCCAAATAATCATTTTTTTTTTAATGAGGAAAAAATTTCCCATTCTCATTTTTTCCTAAATAGAAGAGGGAGACTATTTGCCACCCTTTATTAAGAGCCAACAGGTGAACTACTAAGCAAGCATGGCAAGTAACAGAATGGAGTAAGCAATACCTAGTTGTTGCAAGCTATAGCTCTTCAGATTGAAATTCAAGGGTGCCCCGACCTCTCCCAGCTTTCTGACCCACTGGTTGGAGTTAAGAACTGGCCAGCTTCCATCCGCAGCTTGCAGTAGACGCTGGCTCTGGAAAGAGTTTTCTAGCTCAAATTGGTTGCGGATCCTGTCTTCAACTTCGTTACCAGGCATTAAAAATCCAGCCACCAGTCCTTTTAAGCTATATCTTGTTGCAGTATATAGGTGTATCCATATATATAGTCATAATGGCTTAAACCACCTTATTCTAATGGCAAAATCATATAAGTAATACACTTAATATGAACAAGTAACACGTTTATCTCCAAATTATTGTCAAATTTCTTTTGCTGCAATCCAAAAGGTCATCCTGCAGACAAATAAGACCAAATTAATAATGTTGGAGATAGTGGGAAAATGTACTAGTGCTTGAGCAGCTTCAGCATCATTCCTTTTAAAACTATACATTTTCTTTTTAGAAAAATATACAAAACAAACATATGAGAATGTAAAGAAAAAGATGCCCCCCCCCAAAAAAAAAAAAAAATCCTTTAGAGAGAGAGAAGAAAAGCAAAATTAAAACTGTCCTTTCCACCTACTTCTTAAAAACCAAAACTGGAGCAACACAAAAGTTGTAACACTTCGTGATTAAATTCAACACTCTCAAGCAATACCCCAGAAAACGAAATGAAACTAGTGCAACCAAAAGTTGAATTCAAGATCAATCGACTCTAACCCGAACCCTAAAGGCTGACATGGTCAAGCTAAGACTCCACTCAAAACCAAATTTAGGGTAGACAGAAAAAATTCTACCTCAAGCTAAACCCAAATCCCTCACTTAAAATCCCTAAACGAATCGAAACCAAAAGAAACAAACACAGAGAAACATCAATTCCACACAACAAGGAAGCAAATTTAAGCTCCTTCCACCATAATTAAGAACCAAAAACACGAAACAACAACTGCAATTACTCAACTTGGAGCAAAATCAACCGAACAAGAAGCTGAAGCCGGAAAGTACCAGAAGAATCAAAAGTCCACAAAGTGCAAGCGGAGCTGAGTTCGTGATCTGAACCAGAAGCAGCCTCTAGGGTTCTTGAAGGGAGCTACCAACAACGGCGTGTCGTTTTAGTTGAAATCAGAGGGAAACTGCAATTAAACCCTGTCGTTTTGAAGCTTAATTACAGTCGTTTTTACGCACAAAACAACTGAAAGGCTTTCACTTAATACTTTCCCCCTCTAAAAGCTTCACTTTTCTCTCTCTAGAATTGATTTTTCAGACACAGAGGCGAAGATAAAGGGATCACAGTGTCAAAAATGAAAATAGATTTTTTTAAAAAATAAATAAATAAATAAATTTCGGGCAGTTTAGGTTCGGACTTTAACCTCAGGTTCGGTATTTGGTTCGTGGAGGGGAGATGTTATTGTGTGAATTCGAGTACAGCTGCGTGGTAGTTGTTGAGCGTTAGATGGAGTTAGATTGAAAATCAGCGGTGGAGATTAGAGAAGATTGTACACGGAAACCTATGTTTGGACTTTTGTGGGGGAAAAAAAGTGGGATGGACGGACGGAACTGCGAATCCCACGCGCATTTGATTCGCGTGGATTTAGTGCTTTATTTTGCTTTTCCGTTTACTTTCTTGGAGGCCTTTTTCGCTTTCGGCTTTTGGGCCAGGCTTAGTTTAAGCCCAGAATCATTTAGCAATTTCTAGATAAAAAATATATATGTATGCTATCAAGTATCGTCATTTAGGTTAGACGGCAAAAAAACCTTTTTTTTTTTTTTTTTCTATCAAATAAATAAAATATATATAAATTATAAAACCTTCAAATTTATGTGGAAAAAGTGTCTTTTAGCAATTTCTAGATAAAAAATATATATGTATGCTATCAAGTATCGTCATTTAGGTTAGACGGCAAAAAAACCTTTTTTTTTTTTTTTTTCTA